GAATACACCAGATGCTCTGCTGGAGAAGGAGGGACAATCTCCTCCTGTACCAATCAGATCCAATTTGACGGTACACACACACACACACACACACACAAAAAAAAATTAAAAGAAAATTTTTAAAAGTCACAATTTGAATTTTATTTAAAAAAAAATAAGAGAGAGATGCAAGAAATCAGGGAAAGGCTGAAACCCATTTCTCCTTGATTTCCTAGTGGTAGATAATAACATCCAACATCTCCTGCTTTGTTTCTGTGTAAGCTTTTGACACGTGTTAACAATGTGCTTCCTCTTTCTTTTCAGTGGGAAGCCAGTTTCACCTTTGTGACTCTCAGCGTTCTGGGATGCCCCCTTCATTTTGCCATCGCCTTGGAATCTGCCCTCCTCGGCCCATACTGCTTCTACTCCTTCTCAGGAATCGCAGGGGAAAACTACCTGGGATCTGCAGTGGCCTTTCCATTTCCCTACGCACGATTCCCCTCGGTCTGTGTGGACCCACCACACTACGAGGAGTTCCACCTGACGCTCCAAGTCCTCGACCTGGGCCTCAGCTTTGCCATGTTTTGTGCCTCGCTGACTGCACTTGCCAAGCTTTCGGCAAGACTTTTCCAGAAAGGAGACGTAAATGTAAGCTTCACAAAAGGGGAGGGGGTGATGGTTTTGTCCTGAATGCTAAAAAGGGCGGTCTGGCAAACTAACAGTGTCTCCTGCATATTTACCACTGGATCCTGTGTAACCATGCAAACTAAGCAGCCACAAAATAGGGACTCAGGAATCGTTTTGAGCAAGGAAAGGAAACGTGGTGATGTAATAACTAAAGATAGGGCTGTAGGTTTTGTTATTCTATGTTGTCAAGTTGGAACAACAACTCATAGAGACCCTTTGAACACAGATAGGAACCTTGTCCGACCCTGTGCCGTCCTCATGATGTTCCATCCTGTTGTTAAAGTCACTGTGTCAACCCACCTTGTTGAGGGTCTTCCTCTCTTTCTCTGACCCTCTTCTTGTCCCAGAATGTGGGATGTTTTGCCCTCCTTGCTTCTAAGGACCACCTTGGTTGCCCTTTCTCCAAGACAGAATTTTTTTGTTGTTGTTGTTCTTTTAGTAGTTCATAAGTTTTTCAAGCATCTGACTGTGTGGATGAAAGCGCAAGAAAGGCAGACCCTCGATGCAATAGATTGACTCGGTGACTGGGGTAGCGGGGGTAGGTGTATCAGAGATGATGAGGCTGGCTCAGGATAGAGCACGGTTCAGAGCTGTTGTATTTGGGTCTTTGTATCTCAATCCACAATTTATAAAATTTCTAAAAGAGACAACTATTGCCTATTTTTCTGTAAATTAAAGGCAATAGCCTTAATAATTTTAATCTTAGTCAAATACAGCACCGTGATATAGTTTATGTTCCAGAAATTCATAAAACTGCTCAAGTTCTTTGGCTAAAAAAGACATAAAAGAAATTCTCCTGTATTTCTGCTTCTACTTCAGCAGAGAGGCTTATATACCCCAATATCAAACTTCATTTCATAATATTTTCCAAGAGATGTAATAATAATTGTATTGTTATGATGATAATAGAGCTAAAGATAGATGATTAGATAGATAGATAGA